TTTCTCTCCGTCTCATACCTTGCTGCATATGCAAAACAGCATATTTATGGATTTACGACCACGATCTCGGTGTGAAACAAATAGACTCTTTATAAGTAGCAACAATCTAACAAGCGAATTAATTTAAACCTTAATTTGAACTCGTAAATCGCAGAAAAGAGCGTGCACGTACGAGAAGAAAGCCAGGGAAAGACAACGCACCTTGAGCCCCGAGGTGGACCATGAGAGGGCGCAATTTTCCAAGCAATGGAGGAACCTTTGGTGGGAACTACACCTCGCTGGTGCACAAACCACTATGAAATGCACTCGTTACGGTCACGTCGTTACCGACATAATGAACACTTCTAACAAACAAGCCTCTTTCAACAGTATCCAGATAACGGGGAGCAAGTGCGCTGCATTAATTAGAAGTAACAGAAACACTTCAGGGAGTTTGAACAAAGATTAAATTATATTGTCTACTTACTTTGGACGTTGTCGATTGTGTAGGCCATCTTCTGCTCTATTGCCATGTACATTATTTCCTCGAAATATATGTACACATCTATGTAGTTTTTCCTGTACAAATAAAGATATAAACATGCAGTCTTGCTTCTTTAACGAAGACTAAAGCTATACACTCACACCAGCCATGCTCGAATTATTCGCCATGCGGCTGGATGTAACACGCACCCTATTTGGAAGCCGTTGGTTGGGGGTTTCAGGTATTTTCCGTAAACGATTGCACTTCTCCGGCCGTAGCCAAGTGATTCTGAGATAGCAAATTAGAGAAACACGACTAGACGGGCTAGAACAGCAGCCCTTTGGCAAGGTTCTAGCAAGTTAGCCAAACCTGACTGTATTGCTTCCAAAACGGATAAGCAACCCACCAAACGAAATTGTATAGAGTGTCAACGATACTGAAGTACAAGAAGTACGATGTATTCTACAGGCTAACCAAATTAAAAAAATGTTCTTGTAAGTAAACTAACTATTAAACTATTATTAATTCTAGAATACAAAGTCAGTTAGCAATTTAGCACTTATCTCATAGCCCTAGAAAAAATTAACATATGCACAGCGAGAGCTCGATGTGATATGTACCAAAATTGGCGAAATCCATTAAGTCTGTAAACTACTTCCACAAAGAACCACATTCAGCAACAGCTGACGGAGTGCTCACTAATCGACGATGATTGAACTTCTTGTAGTTGACTTTAAAGGGCTCCGGTAACCTACCGAGGCTGGTGTTGCACATACAGCATACAGCCGGAGATTATAGTTTTGTCCCAAGATTGGATTTAAAAACGCGTGCACGGGTACCTTGGAAATGGGCCCCCGGGAGACAGATGGTGCCGGTAGCATTACACTGGTAGAGTACGGGTGCGAGCATTTTGCACTGTACTGTACGCGGGCACAAGTTACGTCACTGATCTATCAAGGGCAAGTTCGAGCGACCGCTATAGTTAACTGTACTCGACTAACACCACCCGAAAGATGCATGGATGGTTTGAACTATCTAGTTGACCATTTGGGACCAGGCCCAGGGTAATGGTCGCACCGCTGGTTACCAATAGCCAATTTCATTTATCATTACAGAGGAAACCTTTCACATGAAAATAACTGTACGAGATTTCAATGGCCATGTACGCTGCGAGAATCTTAGCCAACGGGGTAATGTGAGTAACGATGAGATTTTAAAAAAATTGACCGACTAGGGTCGTTCGAGTGTAACTTAATTGCGCATGCGTATTGTCAAAAAGCAATTGACTACAGGTCGAACTGTAGTTCGCTCCAGAACTTGCTCCAATCTTTGAAGCTTGATTGAACTTTTTCCTCACAAACGTACCTGATGAAATCCTCTGTCAGGTTTCTTTTAGCTTGCAATTCGGCAGTTAGATATCCAGCTGGCCAATAGGCTAGAGAAAGCTTACTCTGGTAGGTAGTTGTCTCGCAGGCCATGGGGCAGTGGCACCGCTCGCCACGTGAAAGAAACTCCTCTTCTCAACCAAAGCAAGAAGAGGACGGACATGATTTCACAATCGTTAACGCAAAATAAACCGCAGAAGTGTCGACAGAAGCTAGATCTGATTATTTTCCAGCGCCAAACATAACGCCCGGAACAGGCAATTTTAATTTGCTGTATTCACACATAATAACGTTAACGTGTCTGAAGTAGAGATGCTGCTCATGTGCTCAAATGCTGATTAAGGAACAAACTAAACGTCAGCAAGGCTACACATCTCGTTATGTGTCATTCTTAAGCTTTTGAACGGAAGTGCGATATTGTTACTGCAAAACCTGAACGAAATAAAAATTGGGAATAATGAAATCGGCTGTCCAGGTTAAACACATGACAAATCTGAGTGGCACTGGAATACAGAAATACCTGTGAGTCAAGATTGAGATATTCGATTGATATTATTTGATTTGGAGGCAACTGAAATCAGCCATTTTGGAAAAGGAAACTTTGACAAGATGGCATGTGCATTTTTCAAACTTTTAATTGCACAGGTTTTTTTAAATCACGTGGAAAGTGTCTGAAAAAAATCAGCTTTATTTATCTGATGTGCAAACAAGTGCATAAAATGTTACATATCTAAAGTTCAAAATAACGACTTTATTGACATGTATACTTTTCTCAGTAAATAATTCCACTCTGTTTAGTCAATTTAAGGGGTGTTGAACTGCATTTTGCATCCTCCCAAATGTACAGGGTGTAATGATCATTGTAAATGTTAAACATTACCAGTTTTTCACAAGCACCAAAAAAAAAAGAAGCTTTTCCTGCTCGATAGAGAGAGCTTGCGATTGTCCACACTCTGCAACCTGTCTACTCTCCTCAAACCTGACTCTGCCCAGCAAATGAGCAACACAAAACAAACAGGGATTCGTACTGTCTACGTGCCTTACCTTCATAGTCATGGACGCACGATGCCATCTGTGAAATGGTGCAGATTTCGGCAGAAGCTGCAAAGATGTAATGAATACGTCTTTAGTCTGTTTATTTTTCTCTTTGCTGTGGGCGTAAGTTTGCAAAAACACCAGCAGTCTTACTTAAGGAGAGCCAATTCTTTTCTTTTTCAAGGGACCCATTTCTGGGGGCGGGAGCAAAGTATTCGACATCAGGCAACTGATAAACGATTAACGGAGAAAAGGGGCAAATTCTGAGGTTTTTTCAGGTAAATAGGTGATTTCAATCGCCTTTCATGACTTTACTTATTCCTCTTTTGGCATTTATGCTAAGTTGATATTTTATTTTTATTTGATTTATTTATTTAGTTATCTTATTATCTTTTTTTCGGGGGGGGGCGAACTCTTCTTGCTACTTTCACAAAGCCCATGCTTTGGGCTGATATTTACGACTACGAGATCACGTAGGTGAGCCTGTGGTGGCCTCTAAGAAACACCCAGAGTCGTTGCAGAACATTATAGAGTATGTAAGTGTGACATCATTTAGAACCAGTAAATTCCGCACATACGAATGGAGTACGGGCATATGTTGGTTAACTCGCTGGTTGTCACGTTAATGCCTTTTACACACAATCGTGCATGTTATGTATTCACGTTGGTACTAAATATTATCCTGGTACGGTATTTCATGAAATTTGTTAAAGAATTTCTTGGAATTTCTTCTCATAATCAAATGGTGCCATAAAGAGCTGTTCTGCCACTTCTTTTTTTGTTACGAGTTTAATTTCACTAGTTAAATTTGACGCAGCACATGTTTCATCAAGGCCACCTCTGGGCCTTCTCTGAATGACTCCGACGTTCAAAGTCGGTCGGCGGCTGCGTCAGTGTGCTTTGGTTACCGAGGCCAATAACAGATGAGCTCACGGAAGTAACTGATTTTGCGGCTCATGCTATTTCCCGTAGACACGCGTGTTGCTAGCAACCGCAGCCAAGACTTTTGGACGTACCCACTGTCCTTTACCTGGCCACCTGATGTCTCGACAGCCACACTTATCGATGACGTAAAGCGCCCTGCACTCCAGTTGACAAGCTGCAACGGAATACTTGTAGGGGAATTCTTTCAACGAGCCGTCTATGCAGTCTGACTTGTATGGTGCCTTAAGGCTTGTTACCTGGGAACCAACGTTTACAGAGAAGACATATGATTAAATCTCGAAGGTCCAAAACATGTCAAAACTTGTTGAAGGGTACTGAAAAAATTGTCACTATGTTCTCGTAGTGTAATAATTTGTATTACTCCACCATTGGCCGAAATGTAGACATGATACACAACCAGGTGACGTCATAGCGGTGAGTATCCACCTCGCTGCCGTGCGGTAGTTTTTTTTGGTAGCATAAAAAATCCCTCTGGAACCCGCCGCGTAAATATATGGTCTGTGTCATGTAATCTTTACGGAACCAGTCTGGAGTTGTATCCTAATAACTATTAGAGTAAAGACCAAAACCGTATGTCAGCACCAGACTATTGAAGCCCTGTTTCTATGCACATCTGCACTCCACTGTCATATCATGGAAATTTAGCAGCTGAGAAACAACAATGGTGTCTGTGAGTACAAGTAACGTGAGATTTTTGTTTGAATATTTATGAAGTGTAGTAAAAGAAATACAGCATGGTTTATTTCGGGAAAATAGTAGGAATTACTGGCCCCTCGTGTCAGGAGGTAGTCAAGCTGACCCACACCTCAGGACCAGTAATTCCCACTACTTCCCCTCAAACCATGCTGTATTTTGATATTACCATACCCTCAAAAGGTAAATATTTTAAGTGAAGTAGTTGATACATACTCATTGCCATTATTTTGGCATTATAAATTGGCACATTGCTTCAATCTCCCTCCACTATTTATCTTTTTTTTTTTTTAATTAAAACTTCAAATAAGAAAATGAATAAATCAAATAAGATCGTATTGGACTGGACTGGACCAAACCAAACCGAATCCATTAATAAATTGAGTCTTTTTGACAGCTCGAAAGACAAGTTGTCATTAAAAGTTTAGAACCGAAACAGTCCAAGTCTAATGAATTTTCATAGAAGTTAAAATATAATGAAGTTGAATTTTTTGAACATTTAGGGTTAAGAAAATTATCCTCAAGATTTAAAGTTCTTATGGATGTAGTACTTACCGTCTCTTTTCTAACCGCAACAGATGTCTCAAAACCAGGCGAAAGAGAGAATGCAAATTCTTTCATGATGGGGAACTCGCCTTGGGGATGCAGTAATACCTGGCAGATACGCAAAGAATGCTTGAAAAGGCAACTATCTTATCTCATATCAACCAATCTGTAGAGAGTACAATGTAGAACTGCTGAGGGTCCTGCGAGTCCATGAGAGCTCAGGCAGAGAACTTACAGGACCCTAAAGTAGCATTCACACAAAACCTTGATTTTGAAATTCCTTATGTTTGACCTTTGAGGAATTAAGCAGGTGTTCACAAACTACGTATGAAGTGGACGGTTACCTTGAATACTTGAAATGTGGCACGATCCAAACTTCCTTCAAATAGCCACGCCTTGATAAAACATCACTAATTTCTGGCTTACGATTTGACTAAGGAATATGGTTCCTCTAGAAAAACTGTTTATGTATGTACATGCAGTAACGTTGGTATCCAGTTCGTAAGTGTGACGTTACTTCAGTTTAAACCACGCCCACTGCACATGCACTGCACATAAAATTACATGCAATGATTGCCGTTTGCATGGAACCACGGAACCGGAAGTTGACGCACAACTTCAGCGATCATCCAATGGGAGCCTGCAAATAATGGCGCGTCGGCGTGTATGATGAAGTCACTTACGAACCGGATAAAGGTTGGTTTTGCTGCAGAAAATCTGTAACTTCAATGTACATAGACCTTTGTAGAATTTCGGAGGGGGGATATGACGAAGATTCCTGAATCATTTAATGAGCCAGTTTGTTGTCCCAAAGGCGCTTGCCCCAAAATGAAGCACGTCCCAGGTCATTCGGAAACAGCAATTACTACACCTCATAAATATTTATGACCAAGCTGGAGCGCGTCATTGGAAGATTCCGCCGTGCGTCTGGGAAGCAGAACTAATACGTGTTTGGGTGACGTCATACCAGTTAGTATCCACCTTGATGCAGCGTGGTAGTTTTTCTGGTAGCACTAAAAATTTCCCTCTGGAACCAGCCTCGTTGACATGTAGCCTGTGGCATGAAATATTTACGGAAATGGTCTGTTTTGTTGGCTGTGGTCCTTGTGACTAATTCAGTAAAGACACATTAAAGGGTGTCGGCACCAGACTAGTTCAGTCCTGTGGCCAAGACACACGGAGCCCTGCACCTCAGAATCAATGGTGTCTCCAAGTACGAGCAGATTTCCATCGTTGACTGATGAAGAACTTATATAAATTGTGCTGAATAAAAATGCAAATGTACTAAATCGGCTGAGATGGCGGAAAACATACCGTCAAGACAAACAGATGGACAGAATTGAATAAATTCCTGTGTCAGTGCTTCGCCGAAATTTGACGACAGAACGGAGAACTGTACGCCAAGAAATCAATGCAAACTCTCTATGGATTACGTCGTTACTTTCCGAACGAAAGAGGGTGGGCATAGCACAAGAAAGTGAAATGAATCTCAAAGACTTAAAGGTGCGGTTTCAAAATACAGTATAAGCATGCGGAAAAGGGTACCGTTGAACACAATGACCCTATTTCAGCCAGCAATTTGCAGAAAATGCACCAGTCGACAGCGCTGGATTAGAGCATTGCAAGGGACCTACACAACAAATTTCCCATCGACCTTATTCATTGCTTCATTTTCGCACTAGAGAGAGAGAAAACCCTTGTGAAATGATCAAACACGACTTTGAGGTGGCCACTGGTGCAAAATGGCGAAAGTTATATGCAAAAAACGTCAAGGACACACTGACAGAAAATCACCGGGAGGACGACTATGAACAAAGTCAATGCGGCCTAATGTATGTTACAGCGGATAAACCTGCAACCTGCCCAGTACCATTTAAAAAGTGCATTGCCCTGCGTATTTCTCAAATTGATCTGAGGCATTCTATCAACGTCCTAAGGATGCAAGCGAAATTACTGAAAATGATACAGCGTAGTATGCGGGTGTAGCTGTCGGAAAAACGTACGGTTCGACAAAGCAAAATGAAATCTTTGTTGAGTCTGGCTACCCTGAAGTGTATTCGAACCATTGGCTGAGCGCAACGAATATTTCTACACTGGACAGAGGTGGAACCCATGACATTTCTGGTCACAGTTCTGAAGCCAATATTCGCAGCCACTCCAAAACCTCTCAGGCGAAAAATAAGTCGCTTTATCTTGCCTGTTAGCAATGGGTAGTGAACATGTACAATCTCATGACATTGAAAGTGGACCTTCCCACCCAGTATGCAGTAAAACATTTCCTTCATCACCGTCGTCTCAGCTACTTACTCTTTCTCAAGAGGACGAGATTCTTCAAGATCTCACCCATTCTCTACAAGGTGCTAACAGCAACAGTTAGGTTGGAGTTTCTCGTAGACGTGCCAGTTTTAATTTCACAGTAGTGAACATGTACAACGTAGACGTGAATGCCACAGGCCCTCAACTGCCAATGTTTGTCTTTGTTAATTGCCTTCAAATGACTACTGTTTCTTTGTTTGTATTTCATGGGAATAAAATGTGAAATTAAATGTTTTAATTACCTTGAATTTATCATGTTATCGATTTGCTCATGAATATTTATGAGGTGTAGTAAAAGAAATATTAATCTCTGTGAAGTAGTGGGAATTACTGGTGCCTCGATATACATGTAGATCAGCTTGACTACCCGAGGCGAATGCCGTACATGTATTTGTATACCAGTAGTCCGCACGCAAGGTCTGCACTGCTTCAGGGCCATACGCTAACTCGCAAGCTTTGTTTGTTTTCGAATGACCTTGACTTTGTAATACCGAACAGGTGATCTGTCTTCACCTTCATCCCCGCTGCCGTGCTCTCTCCAAAAGTATAGAGATCCTGCTGGATATTCAACCGCAGGTGAAGCCCATTGCTTGCCCCAGGGTTCTGTATCGTCAGCACATCCCCCAGGCCAGCAAGGTCGTCGTTGAACGTGTAACAAACTCCGTAGTCCGTCAAACGTTGGGTGAAATTCAGGTGGGAGCAGGGCTCGGTCCTCCAGTGGCAATCCACCAGCATGTCCTCGATCTGGTGCGTGGCCTGCACTGTCGTCGCGGTCACATTCGCCTGGTTGGTGGTAGGGAAGAGTTTCACGTCGCTGACGTCGAGGTCGATGCTCTCCCTCAGGGCCGGATTGCCAAAGACTTTGGCGAGTATTTTGATGGCACGGGCGTCCAAGGCGTCCTTCCGGTACTGGTTGAAGTTGCAGAGGGTTACCGCAGGAAAGGTGATGTTGGGCACGTAGTTGACGGAGATGGAGCTAGTCTCAGGATACTGGAACATATATACAACGGCTCTTATAATGTTGATGACTAGCCAAGTTGTCATGCCAAGGACTACCGCTAGCCATATCAATCTGGAATATAAAACCCATTGACAGATTATTCTATTGTTTGGGAATCCATTTGGAGTCAAATGTATGGGTCACGGAATGGGTTATTTACAAAAACCATGAAAAAATCCACTACCCTTTAAAAACAAATGATAATCCTCAGCACAATGATGTTAGTCACAGCAGCAATGGAAGTAAAGAAATTAAATAACATGAAACACTATTGGAAGCATCTGGTGAAATAAAAACACAAAGTTAAAGCCGGAAATATGATGGAAATTGTATCAAAAGTGTACTTTAATAAAAGGAGTAGAAAATATTAATATTTAAAAACAAGTTCAAAGCCTTTTCTGAAAAACATTCTTATAAGACAAGATTAAATGCTCAGAGTTATGCTATAGGGCTCCCAAAATGTACAGATAAAATCCGATAAAAGGTGTTTTCCTTAGATGCGCTCTTTAACACAGGTACCTGAAGTGCTGCCCTCCCACTAATGTAACATCATCCATGCATTGCAGGGTCTACATTTAGTTAACTTACAGGTCAGGACAGCATAGGTTTACTCCAAATTGAAACCCCGCAGGACTGATACAAAAATCCCTTTGTGCCATGCAGATTAATATAAGCTCAGGGTCACTGCTGAAGTCCTAACAAGACAGCGTGCCTTCGGATTTGCCCTGTTGAGTTCAAAGTCAGTCTAATTTCTTATAATAATTTAGTAACCTGATAGTAGTAATCACTACGTCACGATCTCATATACACTGAGTTGACTTATAATGCAGTTTTTAGTTGGGAAAGAGTGTGATCTATTGCCTGTGCAAAGTCTGTGATTATTCTGTGGCCACTTAAACTTGTTTTCCAACATTTCTTGCGATCCATCTTCATTGCAGTTTACATTCTTTTGCGGGATCTATGCCAGCCTCATGGAGGACAAATGCCTAACATTGTTAACGATCAGACTTCAGTGTCGATACCAGGTCTGAAATAATCCCCGAATGTCATTACTTGAACTCCCACCTACCTGCGCACACTGTGATACGTGTTGTTGGTGACATAGCGGAGACCATGGAAGGTGGTCTGGTCCCCAAACTTCTTGAAGTCGGCCACCAGTTTACTCCTGTTGCCCTTCATGAATAATCCGCAGCGTTTCCTCCCCAGTCAACGTGACAGAATGTCTTTACGGAATGTAATGAAATAATACATACCAGACGGCTTGTTTTAGATAGAAATAACCGCTTCCGCTGCACAACAACCCTCGGCAGCAGCAGTTACGAAAGGACACAGTACAAAAGAACAGGATAACATAATTGTGATTCATTCAATTTATGGGTTCAGCGGTTTTATGGCATTAAGGAATCAGCTTTCAAAGGGGGAATTAGGACAGCCAGTACGGGCAGAACTTCAGGGCAATCGAAATCCCACGTGACAATCCAATTAAAACTACCCGTATTATCGCCGTGTTTGTGCCGTGCCGCTTGAGAGAGCTAATTGAAAAGCTGACAAAGTGCCGGTAGGGGCGAGCTGGCTTCACTCGTCACGGTTTGTGACGGTGATCTGTACATTCGATTTGTTAAAAAAACTGGCGGATTATTTGAGCCAAATATAGTTTTTGGAATAGAGAATTAACCTCAGTGAACCCGTCTGCTTTTACCGCCAAGCAAAAGACCAATTAGGCCACTATGTCACGTGACCTAGATTGGTGATCAAACAACAACCACAGTGTCCTCCCGCAGCAAAGTGTGTTTAAGTGTTACGAAAATATTAAGCGATATTCGGCTTAGTAGTCTGAGTAATTACAACCATCGGCTTTATTTGTTGGAAATGGCATTTATGACACACTTTACGCCATGGTTGTTAATGATTGATACCCACTATTGGTCATGTGACTGGGTGTGATTAATCGTCGATACTGTCAGAAACAGGAGCCCTCAGATAGGAATTTAATGTGGGTTCCCTTGTGTCCCTTTTTGGAACGCTGCGCAAATTGGGTGTTAAATTGAGCACTTCCGGTGTAATCAGACGACCATGCTAACACTTGTCATCTGTGTTAATTTGTGTCAGTGTTATTTCAAAACCGACAGTGTTACTTTTAACACCATCCAGTGCATTATTGCATATGTTAGTTTGGAAAATAACATCAGAATCAATAAACTATATATGACACATTTTGGTTTGGTTATCAGATAAAACCCAAAGCGTGTTTTTCTTAAAGGTATATTACACTATTGGTCAAATCACAAAAGTTGACCGCCGAATACTTGTAATGCTTACATGTCTAACTTGAATAGAAGCAATTAACAGCCTCAGTTAATCTGTCAATTATTTCTACCCCGAATGCTGTATTTTGCGAGAAACAGAAATTTTATTCTCTTCACCGATGATCAGTTGCTTCGGCCGGTGTGTAGGAATTCGCTTCGTTTCAAAGGGATTTTCTTAACGCAAAAATGTTGTTATCCTACTTTCACCCAGGAGCATAATGGTATGGTTCAAACCCCAACATGGCGGCCGTTCCGGGAAATGTTGTACAATTCAACCGTTTGCCAACTTGACTGGGACCCGTTGAGACAACTCGACCGGTGGGACACCCTCTCACAGCTTGGTGGGGTGGACTACGCCCCCATAAAGTAGGCATACATGCAACAATTCTCATTTTCATTATAAATCTGAAGTTTGAACTCAACAGAACGTTTGGTTTTGTTGTTATGGTCACTTAAAGTTCAAGGCTATATGCGCGCCAGCGTGCGTGCATTAGGAAGCAGAATGACAAAAATATACTTTTGGCTGACCTGTCTCGGAAAACTGGGCGTTGCGCCGTAATGGCGTATTCGTTTTCACAAAATTGGTGTCAAAGTTACAGCAGGGACTTACTCTGAAACTCCTCCCGGTTCAGGTTTTGAAAGAGGTGCTGAGACGATGATTGTGTCGGAAACGGGCTACCAGAGCTACGGCTAGGTCTACTGTCTACGCGTCTCCACACATTTCCAATGGAGCGAAGACGTAGACCTAGCTCTACACAATAGATATAGATGCAGCCGGGTGGATTCCGCTCCGTCACTTTCGATGTTAAGACAACTATAACGGTTCAAGGCGTGTACATGACAGAGTTGGGGGCGTTTGTCACAGATTGCACACTGAGGATATAAAAGATTGCTTAACGTCATGGACACGAGTCGACTCATGTCCATGATGTGTCGACCATAAGTAGAACTTTACTGCTGAAGTTTTCCCAATGAATCCATAACGTTATATATTTGAAGAGGCGTATTACTTCAGAGTAAATTTACTTATTATTTGTCGTACAAATTGGTCTTTTAAAAGGGCAAGAGCACCTGTCACGCCTTTTCATCTGCAGGCTGACCCCGCTTGTAAGTTGTTCGCTAACTTGGAACGCCCTGGATTTTGGACATGACCTGGGTTTCCAGTACTCACTCGGTTATCCATTGTCTTTTTGAATTGTAGACCATCATGAATTTCAGAGACACAATGTTGCTATGCTTGTGGAATAGGCATAAAAAATGTTTTGGTTTGCAATTCTATGTAGGGTGCGTCACGCACGGAGCTTGGGAGTACAGACGGGTCCAAAAACTGGTCACCGCATGCGTGTTTGCAAAAGTGGAACGTGTGATGAGTGGGACAGTTCCGCATCACCGGCAGTTCCAGATCATTTGATTAAAGAAGATTTATTTCAAGTGTAACTAGGCTTTTCCCCTCGAGATATCTTGTTTACTAATTTTGATGTCTGTCACTTTTCAACTGTCCCCCCAATGGATATCGCTCAAACTTTACCGCTTGGCAAATGAAGCATGAATCTGGTGTCCACCAGTGCGAGGTATCATCTGCTTTGTTCCATGGAAAATACCTTAGAGTTTGAAATGACCTAATTTCCGTATTTGCCGGAAGAAGTACCTCTAATGAAGACTTTGGGATACACCCAATGCAGTGTTGGCTGAAAATATATACGATCTAAAGACCTGACACACAGGGTTTTATTTTAATGGTGCTTTCAGCTACTCAGGCTAGCAATAACTCTACGTTTGTTTATAACCTTTATTGATCAGCATCACATTACGGAGTAAGGAAGAAGGTCCAGGTTTAGATGCAGGAGGAAACCGGAGTACCCGGAGAAAACCTGCGCGGAGCGAGTATGGACTGGAAACCAAATGCACTTAAAGCCTGTGCCAAGCCGGGACTCGAACCCGGGCCTCATTGGTGCAAAGCGGCAGAGCATGCCATGTAGCTTTGCTTTTATGAGCACGCTCACGCAGGCTTATAGAGGGCTTGCATGGTTGCCATCTGGCAGGCCAGTGTTTTTGTTCAACAGGGTATGCAGGTTCCCCTGTGGGACAAAACAACTCACCTCCAAGATGGCTGCAACGCCTCTATGGATGCATCCACTGACAGTTTCGTTGGACATTGTTCCTGATGTCCCCCTTCAGTGGTGGAAAGCAATGTGTGAGGTTGGGTGTAAAACTAGTGCCATGGAACAGCAGCTCCGTGTAATAGCTCTCAGTGTCACAATACTTACCGCTATTAAAGGATTTTGTTTGTCGGATCGGGTTACATGTGCTTTTAGACGTCACGAATCATGTGGAAATATCGTTTATCACCTATGGAAATCACCCCCTCTTGTCCACCCTTGTAATAGCCAGCACGTGTTATACTGTCCACTAGTACAGTCCAATGCAGCGTAATGCTTAAGTTATTAAAGGGGAAGCTTTCCAAGCTTAAACTGTATTGAAAATGCTCTTGGCCCAGACAATTCAGATTATTTACGCGTTTTTGATACATAATCAAGGAAACACAAAATGAAAGTTTAAAACAATGGGGACGATTTTTTTTTTACCATGAACACGTGAGTAAAATAATTCACTGAGGGCTTCTCTCTGCGCATTAACGCTGCGTGTTTAAAATTGATACACGTCACCACAAGCACTGCCATAGAAACCAGACTTGCGACAGTTCCGGTGAAAACTCATCATTCAGTGTACTGGACGGGAAAGGAGCTGGATCAGTCCACCATACGAGTGTTGTTAATTTCGTTCGCCTTCGGTACACAGAATGGTAAATTTCGTGAGCATTTTTGCATTGTTTGTCTTTCTCGCAAGCAGAAGTCAAGGTAAGCTTATATCTTTTCAAGCTGTGTAAGGCGTACGCCTACGGTACAGTTAAGGGAAATGAAATCTATCCGAAGTAAAAAAAAAATTAATCTTCTTTTGCAAAGCGCAAAACTGAATTCTGATGGAAGCAGCAGCTTGGTGGAAGGGGGGTTAAGAACACCATTTCTTTATTTAGCTCGAAAAATGGCTCTACACGATGAGAAATCATCTGTACTCGTTGAAAAACCTCGATCGTTATCGTACTAGGCACCCCAGCAGCCTCACAGGCGGATCAGCCACGAACTTCAACATATTTTTAAGTTCTCACTGAGAACCAAACACATAGTGTAATAATGATACACCGAATCAGTGCGAATTTACTGGATGATTCACCAGATTAAGGGGCGACCCTTTTAATTTGGCAATATTGTAGTTGCATGCACACCGCTTAGTTTATAAGAGAGGTAGGTGGAGACCACGTGAACTTCTGGTAACATTTTAGGTTCAAATATTGTCTAAGCTAATACGAAACACAGGTAGTGTAGTACCAACGTGTGTCTGTAGAGCAGTATAGGAGCCAATGGTAAAGGCCCTAACCAATGCTGTAAATCTTGTCAAAAATAGAGGTCCCAGGATTTGCTAAACTGGGAGCTACAACATGTAATCCTGGACCGTTAGTGAAAAAAATGATAGCAACACATGTACATTTGCTCACTGTAAAATGTACATGCTAAATACAAATAGGTGGTATTTTGACGGTCTCTAATGTAAGTTTTCTCGGCCACTTTCGGAAAATGCGCGATATAATTTTTAACTAATTAAAATAAAATTTTAATTCAGCGTAGATTTTGAAAACGACTTAAAACCCAGTTTCGTTTCCGCAATAACAAGCATTCGACTTCGTTTTGCTTCCCTAAAATCAATGAATGCGCATTACTTTTTATTACGGACTTAAAAATATGTGACTGGGATTCCGATTGACGTATTCCTTGCCAATTACCACAAATGTGCCTTCTTTTTCAGTGAAAATGTCTTTTACCGTGACCTCTTGGAAATGAGTATTCAATTCACTTGCTGTAATTTGAAATTGCAAAATATACGTTAAATGTGATCAGAATATACACAAAGGTTACACAAATCATAACACCACTTTGATATAATGTCATATTACTCATTTATAGTGTGTTTGTTATCAAACTGAAAAAAAATTAAGGTTTCTCTGATTGAAACGCAGCACAAGAAGGACGGTTTTCTCAGCGCCGGTGTTTTTTTTAAATAGATTTCCTACAATAGTCGGTAGTTTCCAATGACAACAAAATGGTTTATGTCAATCATGAATATTCAAACACTTAACCAATCAACTAAACACTTCTAAGAATGTAACTGCTATTGGCACACAAACGAATTCTAATCCTTAACCACGTATACGTTGGGTAACGCTGCAGGCGAAACCGTCAGCACATTTTCCAAAATAGAGTTCAAACTGAGATGAATGCAAGATTACTGAGGTGCATTCTATTTCACGCAAAAATGAATATCAACATACTTAACTAGTGCAATATCAGGAAATCGAACGCTGACTCTATACGACTGAATGCACACTCCTTAAAATAGAGTTTGTAATTGAACGGGGATTTGAATGTTCGTTCTATTTCGCTCGAAAACGAATGCTGCTTTTACTGATTTATTTACACATTTTCCGAAATTAGCCAAGAAAACCTTCATTTGTATGAAGCAGTTTTGGACACAGAATTTGGGATGACCGAAGAGCTGACCATGACAGGACGGCTCCCTGCTGTAAGGAAATGCTTACTTTTTTACCCTTGACAAGTGTATTTTCACAATTTAGGACTAGTTTTGATGTCAATACCTCACCCTTAGGAAAATTCCCCCATGTTACCACCGTGTGTTCTCTGTGTGATCACAGTGTTCACACTGTGACCACACAGAGACCACACTGTGAACACATTGGAGACTCCACACCGTAAAATTCCACACTGTGAACACAATGTGAGATCACTGTGGATTGTCCATAATGATCCGTTCACTCTGAGAACACAGTGTGAGCACTTTGTGGCCATTCCACAGTGTGAACTGTCACACTGTAAACACACCTAGAAATCATTGTGGATTTTGCAGCCTCAATCGTGTTGAAAACTGGGACTATATATCTTCCAATCATGACCATATTCCCAAGCTCAGTATGATAATAGACGTTTGATTCAATCTTTGATATTATAAATAGTGATCACATCCCAACGTTTCAAGCATAATATGGAGAAAATAAAGGATATGCTTTTTACTCTTTATTTTCATGTAGTTCGTTTTGTGTGTGTTGCGTTTTGTAACTGTGGACATATTTTTCAGAGCAGGAATAGATGTCTTCTGGAACTGAATAATAAGAAAACACACCGTTAATGGTTTACAATGACGACTTTGCACTGAATGTTTGACATATGCTTTTAATATACGCACTGCAGTTCATCAAGAAAAAAACATGAATATTTCAGAATCTTTCCGATGAACAAAATAAGATACAATATGTGCAGGCCCCATAAAGGTATGCTGTATTAGACACTATAGCCCTGTTTTAAAGGCAGTCGGTAAATACTGCAGTGACCTTGAAAACTCAACTTCGTGTTCAAAAATGTTGTTTTGAGTCAATATCCATTTTGCTGTTTGCAGAGGTATTTGAAGCCCTTTGTATGAAAATAATAGCTAAGAAGTAACTGGTTAAAATAGACAAAAAACACCTAAATGAACAAATTAAAATAGAAGCAGCATCAACTTGTTTGGAAGAGCAAGGGCAGTTCGACATATTCGGGAAAATTCACTTTTCAATCAAATTAACCCAATGGAGAATTCAATTTGTCTGTACATTGTAGGATTCGAACAAATCAGCAACTACATGTTGTTCAGCACAAATTAGCCTTAGAAGAACTAGCCCCAAGACATTTTTCTGTAATTATGAGGTTTCAGTAGCTTTTCAACATTTTTTCAGCTATTTTCACAACTACTTAGTAAAATACCGTTCCCCTACAAAGCCAGTTTTTCGAAGACAGTTCGATAAAAAAATATAGGCTTACTCTGTTGCTGACATGATGCACCCGGCCGTGAGTAGGTGAGAGAAAAAGAACAGGCTCATGTTAGCGTTAATCTCGTTTAATTAGATTTGGCAAAGCTGCAATTGTTCTACCCGACTGCCCATTTCCACTTGCGATTAGGGCATATTTTCCAATTATCGCCTCATTAGTTACTGCTCTGACAACATCGTTGAATCTTCGAACAGTTAAATGTGCCTTGCACAGGCACCTGATTGTCTATCCTTTCCAGCAATATAACTTTGTTCAAATTCTATGTATCGGATGAATATGAGAGATTTCTGCTCTCCTGATTCTGTTGAAACACTTAAAGTGCTCTATTACAGCTGATTCCCCACTGGTTAGCTGAACACAGTAATTCACTCGTTTTGTCTGTCTGTAAAAGGTGCTATGGAAAACAGTGCTTTTCAAAATGTATTTGTCATAAAACCCTGTTCCAAGTACAACCGGTTCCTCCAGTAAATCTTCTGAGGCGTATTTCTCTCTCATGGTTAAATTTCTCAGCTGACACGCACCATCATGACCACCTCATTTTCGAGGGAGGTAGCTTTTTGAATGTGAACCTGACCATGCGAAAGTCTGTCTGAAAAATGCTGTACGTCCATGGGTACATAACATTCATACTGCTAAAGTCTCTTCGCTCTGAAGTCCTCTCCACAGTTTGAAAGTCCTAGCAATCTGAGTAGGGACTGCCCGGGTACCTTTGAACAACTTCAGGAGGAAGCCCATATGAAGGATTGCTTGTGATCCAGCTCTTTGGGGATTAATAGAGTGATGGCCTGCTTGAAATGCATTATACCAAGAGCATGTTGCTACTGGACTGTTTCAATGCGTAATGACCAGCATTTGTAATTCAAATAAAATGGAGGAAAAAACAACAGTTGATGAAACCAGTGGTTGTACTCTATTGCATAGTTGTTCACGGAAACGTTATCTCCCTCTAAAAACACTTTGGTCAGACTGACCTGGAATCTGGGTCCCATGGGGCCTGACCCTTTTCCGGGTCAAATTATGACCTGTTTTGACATGACCTGTTTCGACCCTTTCTGGGTCAAATATGACTGAAAACTGAAAAAATGCCACGTTTTTATTATTTCCACAATCGCTTCAAATGCTGGTTGATATAATTGAGTAACAAAATTCATTGCATTCAAATCACCATAATCAATGTGATTTAAATCGGCCAACCCTGATTTACACCCTTGGTAATTATACGGAAGAACCCTCACCGCACAGTGTTTTTATGTCGATATTTACTTACTGAAATAGGAGATTCCCATTATTTTAAATGGTAGCTGCAATCAATTTGTTTTAATACAAATCATTAAAATGCACCTTTTGGTCTCAGCTAACCTTGCTGCACTTTACTAAGGGTATTTTGCAGGTTTTTGCCATATTCTTGGGCAAAACTGTGATGTCATCCCTGGAAGAAAATGTCCACGTTACATTCGTTTGTACACATATTTTACACATATTTGTAGATCTTTTTGGACTTATTTGCTCTTCTTTGCCGATTCATTGTTACATGCACAACAAAAAGTGAGCACCTGTTTTTTTCATAAATAGTTGCAGTAAGTTAATTCTTGGTTCTCAATTTTAACAGGAAAACGTATGCAATGAACCATGTCTTTCCCGGATGACTTCCCAGAAACAGCGTCCTTGTCCAGGAGAGCACGGATAATATTAAGGGTTTTAAAAAGTGCACTTTTAAGTGCATTTAACCGAATGGGAGTATAATAATATACATTACTGAGGAACAGTAAAAAGTTGCACAAAATTGTGTCTAAGAAAACTTTACTGGGGCTACTCTTTATAAAGTTTCAAATATCATTGCTATTAGTATATTGTCACGTTTCATTTCATTCCCATATGCTACAAAACCTGACGAAAGTTTGGCAACAAGTATAGAGGCTATGAATCATGTTCAGTGAAAGAAACACATACAATTTCGATGTTGCTCTGCTATGGATTAGGGCTCAAGTGTCAAAAATGTTTAGCTTTACTAGCTCTTAACGTGTAATATCAAAAGGAGACAACCCACCCGAGTTAGCAGTGACAGTTGGTAGCCTAAGGAGTTCTTTCAACTTCAATGCTGGAAATGGCCTACACTGCGAATGACGATATCGGTGCAAAATAAGCCTACAGAAAATTAATGAGAAACTCAAAACGCTTCGACCACGGACATAACATATATTTACATACACATAACATAATATGTACATATACATGTACATATATGTACAGGCATAGTCGGTTTGTTTTCACGAACTGCTTTGCTGTAGAATTCTTTATCGTCTTCCGTTTCCAGATGCCACATTTCCCAGCTCAGTTGCTGTGTGAATAAGAATCGTTCACATTGGCACATGACACACCTTTCCTTTTCCCTGATATGCTTTTTCTCCCAATATTCTTTCTATTTTTCCCCGGAGCCCTCACCTTCAGAGGTCAATGGTGGCATTGCCTAGGGCGAACTGTATTTAAAAAAAGTGGCCTTCTTTCTCATAAACATTTTACACTGAATCTACTCCCACTAATTACAACGGATGTTTCTTCAAAGCCATGCAATGCATCATTGAACAGCAGCTCGACCCAGGAACGCATCGGTTCCGCTGGCTGATTCGGGGCGAGGACCCCTGCCAATGCACAACTATCGGAATGGGCGGCCTTGTGACCGACTCAGCGCTCCATTCCACCAAGATGACATATTACGATACTTTCCTAATCAGCAGCGATAAACAGGAGATACAACGCTGGCTGACCTGTCCAGGTAAGCCGAAGTGGTAAAATCACTTCATTTATTCCAATCGACTGCAGGCATGGCACGTGGGCGGCCCGTGTGAGTCAATTATTTTCACACAATGCAGCTGTGTACGACAAAACCTCGTCCCCAGCGGTTACTACATTTCCAGCTTTCCTTCCAGAAGTGACCTCTGAGAGGCCACTACTTTCCCATTCTTTGTAGCAGCGAAGAAATGATTCGTCTTGGGTATTGAGTGTTTGTACATCCAACGTGCATTACGTGTTTCCCCGTTAACTGGGAATTATGGCTTCCACTTTTTATTACATTTTTAAACAATCTCCTCTTCCCCACCGTTATGATCCCCCAATCTTCAAACTGTCAGTTTAGTGTAAATTAATGAAAAATAAACCTTAAGCGAATTCACTGAGATGCAAAAGTGTGTTATGAATAGGTAAAATGATTGAGTGTAAAAAATGATCTCGTATGATGTAAATACGATATACGGGAGATGAATCAGTCAGGCTCTGGAACGAAGAACAACTACGTGGGCGGCAAAACATTTGGAGGAGGGGAGGGCGGTGAAAATGGCGTGGCGAGTTCACCTCCACCAAATGGCCGGGAATAGACGAAACAGCCGGGAACGCAAGCTGACTCCTGCAAAAACTGGCAGCCCCCCAAAGCTAAACATGGTCTTTACAAACAGATCAAGCTCCAGAGTCTCGTTGCAGTCAAAATTTTTAAAGTCCTCCTGTCTGTATTCATCTAGGTTTTCATTATTTCTAGAAGTTACTATAATCTTAGGCTATGTTCCCAGAAACTTGAGATATTTTCTTACCAACACTTAAGCATAACTTATTCATTACAACACTCATTTTTCGGCTTAGAGAACCGCGGCCTATAAAAAGACATTAAAGGCGATTTTTTTTACTTCTAAGCTACTTGTACACCATAAAGTATTTCTCTTACACTTATCATTGTATATTTATCGGTAAGTTGGTAAGCAGGCAATTGAGAAATATTGAGAAGATTTTGAATCTAGGTTTGACTGGCTCAATCCCTGCATAAAACACCTGGTGTGTTAGTCATTGTATCGCGTACTTTGCTGCAATAAAAATGGTCCTTGTACCAAAGCACTGATAGTGCTTTGCTATATGTCTGCATTTCCCGGAACAAGATTTTGTTAACCACCTAAACGCCCCTCGGTGGGGCAAGTGGTCTAAGATTTCAGCACTATTCTATTTCGACCTTGCAGACGTCTCTGGTTGCTCGCTGGAGGAACGCCTGGGGATGGAGGACGGCCTCATCCCGGATGACCGCATAACCGCCTCCTCGGTTCGCAAGAATTTGGCCAATTACGCACCACAGAGAGCGAGGCTGGGGACACAGGGTAAGTAACAAAATAGAATTTATTCATAATCATGTCGACCATTTTTGGTTCATGTTCTTTTAATCTATCTTACTCAATGTCATCTGTTAAATGGGGTGGTTACAGACTAATTTCGGCTCCAAGCCTCACTTTAATTTCTTAAAATGTCGCTTAAACATTTAGATATAGTAAATCATGAAGTCTAAATTATTAATCACTGTACATGAAGTTGATCTGTAATAAACCTTTTTTCATTCATTTAAGTTTCAATCCTTGGCTCCCATAAAAAAGATAATCTCGCTTTCAATTCAACATGGCCGACATGTGAATCGATCAATTATTCCGTTCAACAACACGGTGTTGTACTAAAATGCCAAGGATGAGTTGATATCAATCGTTGTTTCTGATGTTGGGACGAACAGGTTGGGCTGGTGCCTGGTGTTACGATGATAAAAGTGATAGCCATCCGTGGATACAGGTCGACTTCAGCAGCAGAGTCACCGTCTCTGGCCTCGTAACCCAAGGTCGGAGTGATTACGAGGCGTGGGTGACGGAGTACCAAGTGGCTTACCGCGACGATAAGCATGCTTTGAATCACGTGACTGATGCAGTTGGGTCACCAGTCAAGGTATGATATGGGTAACTTTGCTACCCTCGTTTACCGACTAATGTTGGCATTATGATAATGTGAACCAGCAACAGCTGCAATTTGTCTTCTCGTTAATATGGACTTTTCTATATGTACGGTGCAGATGATCCAATTACCCACCACTGTGTACAGAAGAGGGTTTTGCAGCAAAATTCCAACATTCGGAACATAGAAGAAATGCACTATTTTATTATGTAATATGAGTACCACGCTAATAAGGGAGGTTCCACATTGACCTGTTGAAACTCTTGGCTGTAAATTTAGGAAAGAAATTACGGGAACGCTTCAAAATTAAATTCTTTCCAAGAGGAAACAAACCATGAAAGACAGAAATGACTCGACCACTGGCATCTTCAATAATAATTTCCTGTACTCGGTACACTACCCAACTAGCCAGCTCAAACAGGACACACAATTTGTTCTTTTTCTGTTTGCTCAATGCCTCGTTTATCACTGGGGTGGTAGTTTCATTGGGTGACGACATGACCAAATATGTCTACTCATAAGCAATAGAGGATTTACACGGCTGGCATCTTGCAGGCCCCTGTTTTTGTTCCTTATGAGGTTTCCATGCAGCCCAAAAGAGCTGCCCTGCGAGATGGCGACCGTGCAAAGCCTCTATTGGCTACAACTACGTCTGTACTTAAAATTTATTTGACACACCAGCACTGCTGAATATTTCAACAAACACTTTCAGAGCGAATTTATTATACATTATCCCTGATAGCAAAACCGTAACGCTACTGATTTTTGGAAATATTACGTGATGATAACAAAGGATGGAATTTATGCAATCTGATCTCAACTGGAGCCCAGGTTTGTTGTATAAGCGCACAGAGCCATTGTAGACGCACTTCAACAGTTTGAAATAGCAGTTGAGTGCTTTTCCTTCTTTCAGCGGACCAGGCAGTTAAAATGAGACTGTCTAAGTTGACTACATTGACTTCACGGGAGTTCTTGCTGGATTATGCTCTTTGTGGCGATGAGTGACAAAAATCGACTTCTAGGCGACTTCTCAGTTTCGTAGATGAATTGAATGTGGACATTTCAAAGGAACGGCCATTTTTTGTCATGCTCAGTTACTTCCGAAGAATGCTTTTTTTCTTTTAAACTTTTGCCCTTCGAACGCACACACCACTGGGAAAATGAGGATTTTTATAATTTTGAAACCAGGTATCGAAACCAATCCCCCGACAGATGGTCGGTATACTCGTAAAGACAAATCTGATGACCAAAACTAGAAGCTGGGCCATACTGCTCGCACGCAGGCGGTGCGCGAGCGTGAAATTCCTCCTTGACCAATAGGAAGTCAATTGCCGAAGTGCGTGCGTGCCTGAGCTCAGGTTAAGACAGCAGCGTGAGTGTAAATGGCCTCTCGGAATGACGTTTCGTCCGACTTGTCTAAAGCAAAATTAAAAAAAAACGAAAAAAAAAACAAGATGACCCCTGACCGTACTTGGTGACGTCTAGGTACCCGACAAGTACGCGATTCACGAACCATGCGCACTCACGGATCATTTGTACGTATAAGAGAGGATTATTGGCTCACAAATGCCTTTGGTAATATTCTTGCATTGTTTTCACTGGTCTTCCCAGAAGGTTCTTTTATTTTACTGTACTGTGGCTGTTATCTCGAAGTCAAACTTCAATATCGTATCTCTGAGCCAAGACGACAACCTTGGCTCGAGAAAGTACGTGTTACCTCCGCTTTTCATCCCTTGTTTGTCTTTGCAGTTTCCAGGTAACACCGATCAGAACACGCATGTTGCAACTCGACTCCCGAAACCCTTGCGCACAAGACTTCTGCGCATACTGCCCACTGGATGGCACTCGTATTGCTGCATAAGGTTTGATGTGATTGGCTGTTATCAGGACTGAGTTCAGAATTTAAGCACATGTATTTTGGCGGTCATGATACAGCTCAGCAACAGTGCCCATCATTCATGTCAAAAACAGAACTTGGGTACCAATAAGTAGATAATGTATGTGATTGAGAAAACCGCTTAATATATTTTAAAACATGGCTAAGATTTCCCAACTTCTTCTTTCAGCTAGAGACTTGGCATTTGACCACACTGACCCTTCTGCTTGATCAGTAAAAATTCCCAGATTAAATTACTTAAGCTTATTGTAATAGTAGTTACGGAGCTGAATCCCTTTGAAGCTTTGGTTCACTGCTTATCAAATTAATGTTTACAGAAATCATCCAGAGTTCCTGAATTTCCCTTCCTTTCCTTCATATTGGAAAAAAAGAGTAAATTTGTGCCCAACTTTTGTCATGGTAATTAATTGTTCTGTCATGTTTGCCTACATTTCGAACTATTACCGACTTCAGTTTACTTGTCCATACCTGATGTACAATAAGCCTTTTGTGAGTTAAATTTCAATAAAATCTGGTACACTGGGTTCTTTAAATTCATCTGAACATAACAATTTGAATTCTCCATACTGAAACGCCGTTGCTATACTTCGTGATTCGAGACAAGCTTTTGCTAAGTTACACATTAAGAGACGCCTTGCATCAATACACTGTTCAATGGAAAAGAAGGGCATAAAGGAACCGGTCCAATAACAACATAATTAGAGGTATAACGACAACACAACACCGAAAATGTTCTCTCATTAGACAATGTCAAGCGATTAAAACATAGACCATAACTCTCTGCGGAATATCCTGTTGTGGAAATTTGTACAATATTCCACCAGTCGCTTTCATGTGAATTAAAGAAACGAACAAAAAGACTGAAAAGAAAGCTACACTCATTGGAATTACTGGTTCTGGCAGGATAAATTTTTTAAAGAACGGTACAGCTAAACAAAACCAGTCATATTTCCGGGTCACGGCTTTGGCAAGGCCATTTTGAAGAGTTTCTAGGGGGCAGGATTAAAGGATCACCGACTTCCATTAAATCGAAAAGAGCTTTACTGAAGGCTAATTTCTGACATTCGGTGCGACACGTAAAGGGCATTGCACTAAGGGTGGTATGTAAGAGGGAGAGCTGTTTTGCAATTTACCGGGGAGTATAAACAGCGCTATCCCACCGCAGGCAGATCCCGGACTTACTTTGGCAAATGTTTGTAACCAATAGACCTACAAATAACTCATGGGACACAGGTGTTGGTTCCGTGCTATTAAAGAGAAAATTCTTATCTGCAAATAAGTCGAGCGGTTATTCAATTTGAATAAAAAATTCAGAGAACAATTTTCAGTTTGTTAATAATTTTTTCATGGCTTTTTACTTTATTCTTGCACAAGTTCAAGCAGAATTATGACTTCAGTGCCTGGGAAGTACAATCACAGAGAAAGAAGTTATTGTTGAAAATAACAACATGTATTCCGTATCCATGCATCAGTGATTTCTTATTGAGATGAGTTATTTTTGGTGACCGTGCGCTTGTTACGAATAAATTGTTCTTCAGTCCATTAATCACCAAGCAAAGGAACGTCAAGCTCACCGGGGATACCGTTTTTATGTGGAACGAAAAATATTAGCGATGGGCAAAATGATAAAGAAAATGGAATCGGAAATAGTTGTAATCAATTCTGAAGTTACCATTTTGAAATTTGACCACGAAATGATGTGAAAAGGACTATCAGAAACCCTAAACATTAAAAGATTTGTTGCTTGTCAAACTAGTATGAGGGTAATGTTGGCCAATCTTGCAAAAAAATCCACAATATCATTTAATTAATAAGATATAAATTTTTGCTTGAGATACATCCTTACATATATAGAGTTATTTATAAACAGTGCTACCAGGGTATCGATTTTAAGCCCCTTGGAACTTTTTTTGGCGGAATGGGATAGGTTTTGCCTTTACAACCCCGCCCCCAAAAAAATCATAGCCAGTTTTGGAGTTTCTGTTTAGTACTTAACTAATGACACGTTTTTTGCAATGAAAAATTCAACGTGTGAACCAACGCATCTCAATTTTGAACAGGTTGTTACGTACAATGAGGCAGTCACGCCTAGTAGCATAGAAATACATCGTCACTAATTAATTGTAAACGTAATTTATAGCAGTGGTCAGTTCTATGCGGCAGTTGAAGTGACCTGAAATATATCTCTGTGTAAAGACAATTGTTCTCTCTGGTGTCCACGTCCATTTCCATGTCACGTCCATTTCAAGTAATTACCTGTGTCAGGTTTAAGTCAATTCCATTTACATCATCTGTAAATTTGTTCGTTGCTCTGTCTTGTCTGCCATTGTCGCGTATTCCTTCTTTTTAATAGCCTCTCGGTCTGTTCATTGTCCAGTGGGCCAGGGTAGAAAAGTGTCTGCTTAAGCCATATCAGCAATTTTGTTATAGGTAATATTTATATGAAACATGGCTCATGGTGATGGAGTGTAGGCATCAATTTTCGAAATGGCAATTAGCTTCATGATTTTGTTTCAGTGTTGGGCACCCCTGAGGTGAAATATTTTCAAAAGTCATCAGTTAAACCACTGTATTTGCAAAGAAGACGAAAGATTGATAAAGTGGCTTTAATTTAATGTGTATCTTTTGAACACTTGAGAGGCTTGAGTATTTTCCCCGATAAATCAAAGTGAAAGAATTTATAATAGTGTTGGCTATGGCAGCCTATTTACTGGCCTGCCACACATGGACACTCATGGAGAGGGGGTACTCTTTACAAAAAGGCAATAACGTACGGGCGTGGCTGGGGATGGGGTGGTACATACGTCGGACGCCGAGGTCCCGTGTTTGTGTCGTTCGTGCCAGGGTTCCGGGATCATGAGAAAGCAACGACAAAGAAGAGATTCGACGAAAATAAGCCATTTGCTAATTATCTGGTACACTTAGTTCTTTAAATTCACGTGAACATAACTTGAATTCTCCATACTAAAACCGCTGTTGCTATACCTCGTGATTCGGGGCACGCTTTTGCTTAGTTACATAAGAGACGCCTTGCAACAATACACTGTTTTCAATGGATAAGATTGGCATAAAGGAACCAGTCCCTTCCAAAGATGGTGGTAGCTATGCAAAAGTTTGCCCCGAATCACGAGGTATGGCAACAGTGTCTTTAGTCTGAGAAATTCAAATTGTTACGTTTCTGTGCAATCAGACAACACTGTGTATCAGACTCTTTTCAAATTTAACTCGCAAGTGGCTTATTATACTCGGGTCTAAATAACTTATTAACTTCGGAACTCACATTTTGAAGAACATAGTACAGAAATAAGTCGTACTGTGCCAAGCACAGTAATGTGGCCGACACATAAAGACATCATTAAGTAATTCAACTGACAAGTGAATAGGCAGTTCCACCTAGCTCGTGCCTACATTATATTAAAAAAAGGGAAGAATGTTTCATAGCACCATTCCTCTCTTCTGGGCGTTATCAATTTCAACAAGTTGACGACAAATACAGTGAACACATGCCATTGGATTTTAAGCGGTGTGGGACAACGTCTGACGGAAATGTGTACATTAACTTACGGCTGGTTATAAGACTATGCCGAGAAATGACGTGTAAAGCGGCGGCGAAAACAGCGGATTTCGTCGCAGGTAACTCATTTGAGCAATTAAAGAGTAGGAAAATGTTCAAACTGATATTGACCTACGTTTGTTGCTTTGTCGTTGATAATTGCCAGGCCAGCTCCAATTTGTTGGCACACACGCTGACTGTCTGCCCAGGACAAGAACAAAGTTTGAATGGGGTGGCAGTTGTCATTGAATTCTTTCCGATTGGGTGGGCAGGTCCTGGCAGAAACTAAATGCAAACGAGATCAACAAAAAGGCCGATATAAATATGATGCCACGACCAACGCGCATTCAACCTGAGCGCTGCCATTTGTCACGAGAATAGGGTTAAAAATTTTGTAAGCGAAAAAAATCGTTGAGACGATCACCTCACTGAATGCGGCGCTTACTGTACGTGTTTGTGCAAACAAAGGATGCTATCAAAAAGTCTGAGCTTTCTAACAGTTTGTCATTGAACGCGAGTCGACCATGCAGTCTGGAGACACAAGGACATTGGACTTTAACTGCTCGACAAAAGATTCACATATGTCATGCCAGAGGCTGGTTGGCAAAGAGGGTTTTAGCTATACACGTGTTTGCAACGTTGGGAGAAGGTTTTGGGGAGAGGGTTTTGGGAATGGAAAACAGCAACCGACCCACCTCTTACAATCTCCCACCTGCTGTCGACTACATAGAATGCTGCACGGTCCAGAAGATGTTTCATGGGTGTGCTGCGTGTTTTCCAACTGAAAATATAGGCCTAACACATAGGCCTACATTCTCCTCAGATACGCTATTATCAGACAAGGTCTACGCTGACAATGTTTCTCCAAAGGCTACCTTTAAACTTCTCTAAATATTCGGCGCCTGGGATGCTCCTATAGACCTTTTTCCTGTGATGTCACAACAGTAATATACCACGATGTGGAGTGATGGTAATGAATGTTCTAAACTAGTCAAACATGGAGGTTTTCACTTGCCCTTGTACGCGTTTGAAATATTCGTACCAAAACTCTAAGAAACCAACACCAGCAAATAAAAGCACAGATGTTGGAACCGTGAGTAAGGCTTTTGATTTTTTTCTTCCTCAGCATCGTGTTGAAGGAGTTCGAGGCCACATTCGTTTTTGGAAATTGCCCTCGACACCAAATGCTGCATGCACTGCTGAGAACAAACCAGTGTTATTGCAAGGAAAGCATTTTTAACCTGTGGGAACATGATAGTATGTACAATGTACTGAATAGTACATGGATCTGTGAAGCTCAGCTCAGTTTGGTTGCATATAGCCTGTTGTTCGGGTTGAGCAACAACTGCGTTTGCAGACCAAACGAAGAAGTAATTTCTTTGAGAGTGTTGACACTCTTCAAGTGGTAAATTATGACGAGAAGGTTAAGCAGTTATGAATAGTCTTACTGGGGGAAATTGAGTCTTACATCAACAGTTTGGGACAACATGCTGTATTTTCTTTTCTCCTGATTGTTATCCTCATTTCATCCTATTTCTCCTTCTAAACCATCTCTAACAGCTTTAGCCCAACCGTCTGAAGACACCTTTTCATTTGTACGTTTTTGGGAGCGTTGCATACGCAATGCGTTCATGCCTTTCACTTTCACGGACACAAAAATCGACTCCATTAAAGAGGCACACGTGCGTGTTGCGTTTGGCCATCAAAATAGCCTTGGGAGCGATTTTGACGGATACGCTTAGCGCAAGTACTGACGAGAATATGGAAAGGCGCCTTTCAGCAATAGCTCGCGCACACGCGTTTTTATGGATGGTGCATAGTCTTCGTGTGTGCGTGCATGAGTTCAGTTTTACAACCAGCCTGTCTCTCCTTTGCACTGAGAGTGCACTTCAGCTAAGGTGCTGACAGTTGGCCCAATAACTCCATTCAAGGTAGAGTTTTACCTTGGGTTCCCCATCATGTTCATGTCCTTCCAGAATGCCTTGCTTTGTGAACGTAGTCTAGGGAACAAATTTGGAACCCTCATCTTGAAAAGACTACAGCCAAACTGTCTTTCCTCTCTTCAGAAATCAGACGAATGACTCTATTGCAGTTGGGAAGTTCATTTCTCCAATAAAAGGGGAGGTGATCGTGTATTCCCAAGTCTGTATTAAAAGGTAGACTTTGTTAAATGTTAACGAATACAAACCATCCTACTCACCGACAGTAGCCACAGCTAGCGGTAAAACAAGAGCGCGTTCCCTCTTCTTCAAGATGATGACCAATGTAGAACTGATTTTGAGGCTAGATATCACCCGGTCTTTATAAGCTTTTGCACACAAAAGACAGCTGGCAAAACCAAAACAGAAAGCAATTAATCGGGGCAATTTGTATCTCCTGTGGAGCCTAATGAGATAATTGTCAACAGAATTCCAGTCATTGAATAAAAAACCAAAACTTTCTCCCTCCAGTAGCTAGCAAGGGGGATCTAGGACGAAATCTTCGTGGGAGGGAGAAACTTATTTCGTGAGAGGCAAACAGTTTGGAATCTCGTTTGTAATCTTTTATGGCCGATTTAGGGGATCAGGCTACATTTTTGGTTTTTCTACAGGCAATGGGAAGAAAGATAAATAGAAAAGTGCCCTTCTAAGAGTCTCAGCCATCCGAAAAGCAATAGTTTATCTTGTTTATTTTTGAACCAAAGCTAAAATTTAATTTTTAACTCCCAGTAAAAAGAAAGGAAAACGCTAAACTCTCCTAAATTCTGAAAAAAAGAAAGAAGTTGTGAATGAGCTAAATATATGCCTGTTATATAGTTTAAAAATAGTTTTTTCATCCCATGAATATTCATATATAATACCTTCTGACAAGGGCGAAGACAATGTGCTTTGAACCTTCTGAGAATTGGAGAGGAGAATTTCTTGTGTAACTACTAGAAAAACGTGAAAAATACGTTTCTAAGTGTAACATTTTGCATAGCGGTAGGTTCTACAGTCTGAGAAATATTCACTTTGGTCCAAAGCAGTGTAAAGTCAGGCAAATGGAAACGGCCATTTTGAATTTCCCCGACTCCGTTTTTTCAGTACTGTGAAAGTACATGATGTTTGAGTACATGAGCACATAAACGGATGTGAGGAAATCAGTAATATCGTTAGACATCTTACAATCATAGAAGTGACTAAATCAATTGGACTTTTACCAAAACATATAGTGAAATCTCAGATAATGACTTACGAAGTATTGTAGCTCCGGCGGGTTCGGCCGGTGGGGGCGCCAGCTCGGACCCGCATGGAGCTGGCTGGCTGCCCGCGCTGGTATGCGATCGGCCTGCGGCTTTCCCGCCTTGCGCTTGCGCAGTCCCCGTCTAGACACCTCGTGTCTGGAGCTTGTGTGTGTGTGAGACAGCTTTTTTTTGGCTTCGTGAAAATAAACAGAGCAGTTTTGCCCGGAACGGAGATTTGAGCCTGACTGAGTGGTTCTTTTCAGCGTCAGAGTCCATAGACAGGACACACTACAGTATTTTACGGTGACACAAAAGAAAACATGATTTCAAGACAATGACTAGTGGGCATTTTGGCTGTAGTTTTAATGGCTTATATCGACTGCTGTAAATACCTTCACGGACGCTTTAAATAATTATGCTGTTGCGTCAGATTCTGTTGAGCAGAAGCACCCCCTCATCGGTTGGAAAGGGCCACGATTGGGCTTCCTCAACGTACGAGAGCAAGATTTCGGTGGCTTACTGGCCGGCTGCACATGCGACCCCCGAAATGCAAGCCCACAGCAATGTGACAGAGGATTTTATCAGGTACGTTTGTGCAGGAAAGAGTTTGATCGAGCTTCACAAATTGATTGATCAGTGACGTAACGTGTGCCTGAGTGCAAACGCACATCCTTACGGTATTTCACCAATTTGGTCATCTGTAGAGGATCCTCGGTCACGTGATTTTGACAGTAAGCGTTCAATTTACCGAGATGTGCGCGAAAAGGAGCGCACCGTGGGTCTCTCAACATTCTAACATTAACATAAAATTGCCAACAGAATAACAGAGATTCGAAAATGTGCGAGCCTCCACGGAAAAGATATGCTTCCTGAAATGCCTTTGCCCGTCATGTTACGTCACGTGAAAAACATCCATAGGCCCATGACTGGATTTCGAAGAAATGTTCCAAACGCACACACACCTACACGTGCTCAGCCAGATCAACACTATCGGTGCTCCCTGCTTCCGCACGGTTTATGCCCCTTGCGGTTTTGTACACAAAATCCAAATCGAGTTTTGGAGCCAAAACTAACCTCCAGCTCTTCACTTTGTACGGAGCTGCTGAAACCCGAGTGGCACCAGTTTCAATAGAGGCTGGTCCTCGACAGCCAACTACAATAGTTTTTGAACTTTTCTGGTACCACGCACTGTTCTTGGTAGAAGTTGTTTGGGGACTAAATGGATTTATTCAATTTGGCATTTTGCATCTCATGAAGCCGAATTTTACCGTCCAAATTTTGAGAGATAATAGATTAGGGTCTAAAATGAAAACATGCAAAGTTTGGTTAAGATCGGATTAAGGAATATTGAATTATGGGACAGTACAGTTGGAAAAAATTTGTGCACGTTCTTATGGGAATGTTTCCCTAATGACCCATTTTCGGTTATAAAACTACCCCTACAAATAACAATAATGAAAGTAATAAAGCATCTAGACAACAATTTAAAAAAAATATTGATTGCTTACAGCGTATATCACAAGAAACATGATTGGTAAAAAAAAAGAAAACCAATTTGAAATCTTTCACCTGACTCATCTCCAGAACATTGTGTCTTAACTGGACCCAAAACAATGAGGATCACTTGGTTGCGGCTTGAAACAGTGCATTCGTTCACCGAAAGTGCTTGGAGCCCGAAGCTGACGGCTTTGTGTTGTAGCCAGGCGAAGCTATAGACACGGTTATTGTTTGCACTTCATAAGAGAAACGTGTTTACTTTTACTTTTTACAGAAAGAACTACATGGACGTGTATATTTATTTCGATGAAATAATGTACATGGAAATAGAGCAGAAGATGGCGTACACATTCGACAACGTTCAAAGTAAGTACGCCTTGTAAGTCAAGTTTTGTCCAACCTTAATTGTGTTTGCTCTTTCCAGTTTCTACAGTGGTTGGCTCTTCGTTCAAGTGCGTGGCCTTTTCGTTATCTAACTCCCGGGTTTTACGTGTATGTTCTTGTCTGCGATTAAGAAGTTTAAACTGTCGGTTGTTAGATTATTACAAACCTGGATTTACGATTTTTCCTCTACATACCAAAAGCTTGGTGGACCAGATAATAGGATTGACGGTTTGTGGTCGCAATATGTAACTCTGTTTTGAGAGCGAGTTGGGTTCTGAAAAGAACAATCGACTGTAGACGACGGGCACACCACGTGATCGCTCATTAGCGAAGGCGCCAGTTCTTTCTAAGGTGAATATTAAGGATTAAGAAATGCTAATTTCCTGAGGCTGGAAGAAAACCGAGATTAATAATCGAGGAAAACCCTAATCTACTGGCCAACCTAGCGGGATTTGAGTCCTTCAAGTCGCATAAATAGAGCAGGCAAGAAAAGCACTTGCCACACCAACCTTCATCCATTCGGAATAGTTGAGATATTTTGTAACTTTTTTACAGGTGACGTGGGCGGGTATCTGGGACTGCTTTGTGGCATGAGTTTGATAACACTGGTGGAGTGGGCTGATTTCATCTTGAATACCCTCTACAAGAGGTGTCGACGACTTGCAACTAGCAAAAAACCCCGCCTAAACGTGAATTTATTAGCAGAAGCATTCGCGTGACTTCAACTCTCTTCCTGTCTCCGTAGCGGCCCTTGAAATAATTTCATTTTACACCACAGGAACGCGCCCCAAACTGAACCAAACCAAACCGAACCACGCCAAGATGCTGCATCTCATGAGGCAGTGTTTTATTTGCATAGTG